AAATCAAATCTGTACTGTAGTTGAAAAGTTTCCAATCTCTTTATGCATATTAATTAACACACATGACAGTACACTGCTGAATCCACTACCGATTGAAAACCAATTTTGTCATTTTGCTTTGTCTGTACTTCCAAGTAGCAAAAATACTTTTCCCACGCTATAAGCTTCACAGGAAACCCGACACAATTTTATTTACATAGTAGAAATCAAAATAGCATATCGCGTAATATTTTTCATTTCCCAGAGCCGAATTCGTAGTAAATAATTCCAAGAAGTCCATGTGCGAACGTGAGCGAACTCAACAGGAAACAAACACCTGGAGTGGTAACTTTAGCTGTATCCGGACTATAAATTGCGAAATTTTATTGTGCAACGGCCCTTGCATCGCGCGGTCTCGTCAAATTGTCGAAATTGTCGTTTCGGCAAACGTCTTGTGTAATAAAGTTTATGACGCCGAAAGGTCGAACACCTCTGTTAACAGTTTTAATTTTGGACACTTTATGGTATCTGGCTCGGCGTACGATGACTTAACATAGGTCAGTGTTGTGCCGACTATTTTAGAAATTTTGATAAATTTTGTTTATTTGTTGGCGATTACGGAGGTTAATGAAAGATTGGAATAACTGCCCGTACTTTATTGTGTGAAAGAAAAAGCTAGTAACAATATTTTGTCTAAAATTTACATGTTTACAATAAATTTCAGAAATTATTAATTATGACTTAAACAAAAGAAATAACTTAAAATTTTGTTCTAGCTAGGGAATTACTTGTTCTTATTCATATCTTTCTCTTCGGTACTCATGCACAATTCTCGTGTTGTCACTACACAAAACATTTATATTTTTGTTTGTATAATTACACACAAAGTTTGTATTATTATATAACTTTACACAATGAGCAATGACGAAAACAATAATATGCTGATATGTGCAAAAAACGGTGACCTGTTAAAGGTTCCAAAAACATAAACGAACATTTTCGTCAGTTGTTGCTGAATTAAATGCTCGTTTTAATGATCTATCAAGCGTTCGATCATCGGAAAAATTATACAAATTTTAACAAATATCTGATATCGTATATATGAATTTTCCTTGACATTTTTCAAATTGGCAAATACAAGGAGTAAACCAAGTTTCCCATTTTCGTTTCTATGATGTGGTCTGATGTCTATTCGGTGATTTTAAATAATATTCGACATTTGTAGCCGATTACTTACAAATTTTAAGTATACCTATCTTAAGGTTATTATGATGATGACAAAATAAAAATTTAGTTGTCCTTTCCTCCAAACAATAAATAAATCTTGCTTGCAATGCGAGATTTTTTTAGTTCTCGAGTGTAGGTAAGCTAAGGAAGTATGGTAATCGAGTCCATCGGCAAACTGCCATTTTCATGTATTCTCGACGTTTCATGACCCCAAGAGTATGAAAAAAATGGTCTCCGTTTCCGTCTGTCTGTCCATTTAGCTAATCATCCCCATCACTCGCGTGATGACGTCACCTCAATATTGTAACGTAATGTTTTAAATTGTTTTAAAGTCACCCAATTTTACCGAAAATTTGGGAGTGCTAATCGTTTTTTCGATGTATCAACATAAACAATCGAAGTTAAACATTGTACACTGGTAGCAGTACATTTTTTCCGTTGGTTATCTGCTTTAAATATATTTCATAGTGTGTGCGCCCAACGTGACATATAGATTTAAGTAGACGATTTGTTGATGTTTTGAGCGCTCGATTTTTTAAATTTTAGATTTTTTGATTTTTTTTCAATTTTTCGGAATTAATTTTTCAGTATTCGATTTAACGGTTTTCTTTCAATATTTTGTCTTCTCGTTTTTAGATCACATTTTATACCAATATACGAGCACTAGTTTGTGAAGGACGCCGGGGCTCAAAAATTTTAGAATGCAGTAATGTTGCGCCCGCCTATATTTAATAATGACAAAATAAAAATTATGATAAGTAACATCGCGACTTACCCAAAATAATATTCAGAACGTTTTGCTGAATTGTAGCGTAACTATTAAGTTTAATCGCTTCCCATGTTTTGAGGAGACAATTTGCGTGTTTAATTGTCGAATTCTTTCGATGTATAAACATAAACAATTGAAGTTAAGTATGAAGAATTTTACAAAATCTTAGGGGCTTTTAGCATCCTTTTTTAATATGTAATGTTTCGTTTTTGAAGGAGAAATCAAAACATTGTTAAAACCGAAAAATTGAAAAATCAAGAATTTTAAAAATCTAAAAAGTCCAAAAATTAAAATATGGAATAGATGAAAATGTTGAAAAATGGAAAGTTTAAAAATTTGCAAAATTTTGAGAAATCGAGTAAGTAAAAATTTAAAAAAACGTCGAAAAATCTAAAAATTTAAAAATTGAAATCTTGAAAAATACCAAAACTGAAAAATCCCAAAACTTAAACTGAAACGTCGAAAAATTGGAAACTCGAAAAGAAGAATAATAACCGAAAAACTGAGAAATCGTGAAATCGAAATCCAAAAGTTGGAAAAATGGGAAACCGAAACATCAGAAGATTGATAAGTCGAAAAATCGTAAAATGGAAAAATTGAGATACCTATCGAAATATGTGGCTAAAGATCGAAAAATGAGAACATTGAATACTGAAATTTAAACTTAAAATCCCAAAACTGCAACATCGAAAAATTGAAAAATCGGAATATAAAATTTAAAAATAAATTCCGAAAAAAAATCTAAAAATGAGAATGCAAAAAATCGAAACAACAAAAAAGTGAAAAATCTAAAATTTAAAAATTTGAAAAATTGAAAATTTATAAAATCGAAAAATCAAATTGAAAAATCGAAACACACATTGAGAATTTAAAAAATTGAGAAATCGGAAAGACAAAAATCGAAAAGTCAAAAAATTTAAAAATCCATTAATCGAAAAATTGAGAAATCGAAAAATCGAAAAATTTAGAAACGCCAAAAATTGAAAAATGGAAAAATTTAAATACAAAAATCCCAAAACTGAAACGTTGAAAAATTGGAAAATCGAAAAGATGAATTATCGAGAAATCGAAACCGAAAAATTGAAAAATCATGAGATTAAACATCAACCGATCCAGAAATCAGGAAGTTGAAAAATCGAAAAATTGACAAATGGAAGTGACTAAAAATCGAAAAATGGGTAAATTCAAAATTGGAATATTTTAACCGATAAAACGAAAAAATGAAAAATCGAAACATCGAAAAATTGGAAAATCTAAAAATGCGAGAAGACTAAAAATCCGCAGAAAACCGTTAAATCGAAAATTGAAAAATCGAAAAATCAAGAAACTGAAAAATGAATTCCGAAAAATTGGAAAATCGAAAAACGAGATGCCAAAAAATCGAAAGATTGAAAAATCGAAACAAATGAATAATCTAAAATTTAAAAGTTTGGAAAATTGAAAATTTTATAAATCTAGCAGTCAAGACACCAACAAATCGAAAAATCAAAAAATCCAAAAATTAAAAAATGTAAGATTTAAAAAGTCGCATTACAGTATAAACTCTATAATCCGAACCCAGGATTATCCGAACATCCAGTAATCCGAACAGAGGCTAGTTAAAGTCGATATCTCTTTAATCCGAACTGAACTTGAAAACATGCAGCTACTTGCAAAAATGACGCAAGATCTTTTTTCTGCACGCAAGTACTAGCCCCGCCCACCCACCCTTGTTTTCTTTGAGGATATGTCATTTGCAAAAATCAGTCTCATACTTGCCAAGATAAGACTCATTTTGGCAGATAACCTATTCTTTATTTTCTTAGAAGGGTAGGTCATTGGCCAAAATGAGTCTTATTTTGGCAAATACTAGCCCGGCCCACCCGCCTTTTATTTTCTTAGAGGGTAGGTTATTTGGCAAGTGCTAGCCCTACCCATCCCAGTTTTATCGTAGGGAGTACTACTAGATTTTTCAGTTTTTCGATTTTTCAACTTTCGAATTTTTCAATTTCTCGCTTTTTAAATCTGCAATTTTTTGATCTTATATTCTATTTTTGATCTCTCTGGGCAACTGAAAAAAACTTTCGATTTTTTAATTCTACAATTTTGGCAGTTTTCCGTTTTCTCAATTATTTAATTTTTAAAAATATCCAGAAAACATGTTTATTTTTTTTAATTTTCGATTTTTGATTTTTTGTCACCGAGTTTTTGGAAGGGAGTAAAAGTAATTTTAATCAGCGATTTCCCATGTTTACCGTAACTTGAAAACTTCTGAAAATTTTGTTTCTAATTTTCAATTTTTGGATTTGTCGATTTTTCAAAATTTCGGTTCGAATAAATTTGTTCTTTTAGTTAAAAAATCGAAAAATGACAAATCATGAAAAGGAAAAATTTTTATTCAGAATCGGTTGTAATATGTCAGTTGCCAACTTTTTTGAAGTTTGAAAGTGAGCAATTGTTTGTCATCTTTACGAACTTCGTCGGAGGTCGGCAAATTTTACACCCACCCTTATTTTCTTAGAGAATATGTCATTTGCAAAAATCAGTCTCATACTTGCCAAGATAAGATTGATTTTAACAGATGACCTACTCTTCTAAGAAAATAAAAGGTGGGTGGGCGGAGCTAGTAACTTTTCTTAGAAAAGTAGGTCATTTGTCAAAATGAGTCTTATTTTGGCAAATACTACCCTGGCGCACCTGCCTTTTATTTTCTTAGAGGGTAGGTTATTTGGCAAGTACTACCATAATGTAAAATTCATCACCTCAGAAAGTGTGTTATTAGCGTATTTTGTCGAATTAAGTGACAATAAACCGCCATCGATGTTATGGGCGACTTATTACACCTAGGTGTATATACAGGGTGATTTCACACATATATAAAATATTTAAAAAATTACATTTTTCTGAAGCTTTACATATTTTTAACTTACAGGTTTTCTACGGTATAATAAAACAACAAAACAACCATATATTCAGAGATTTTTTAACATCTATATTTCAAATTTTCTTTTTCTTCTGGGGTGACATAATTAACAAGAAGGCTTTTTGTCAGTTTATAGTGCTAGTTGGTGTAACTCTGTTGTTGTTGCTGTAACAATACTTTGTCGTTTTTGAAAAATATAACAGGATTTTCCAAGCCGCTGTAAATTAGTTATTTATTGAATGATTTACTATTATTCTGTATGTTTATCAAGAATAATAGAGTTGCACAATATCTGTGGGTGTACGACGCATTGAAATTTGGAATAACTAAAAGATTGATGTTTTCCTTTGTATGCGTCTGTGGTTCTAATTCGACTGTAAACAGATCCAAGAAATAATAAGAGCAAATATACATCTAAACAAAGTAAAATTACGTCATTCAGTCGTTTTGTTCGATGTGTCTACAACAGTCATTATGAAAAATAAAATAGGTGTGTAAATCAGGAGTACCTATTATCAAGCTGGTGCGACTAATTTGGTTATCAAAATCAAGTAGTAAATTATTATTGCTTGCTCTCCGAGAGGCTCCTATGACGCAATTCAGGTATTCACCATTTAGAATGGAACGGTTTTCGACCCGTTTATCGAAACGATTATCTTTAATAAATTGATATAGGTCAGTTTTATTTTTATTACAATTTTCCAAACAAACCGCATCGTATCAGAAGTTCATTTCTATACATCGTCACCACACAACTTCCAGCTATGAAGGTTTCCTTATCGCTCAAAAATTTGAAATAATTATCTCGCAAGTGTTGGGCGCTTGGCATATTTCACACAATGCATTGTTCATGTTGCACACAGAGTTCATCAACCTGAAATTTAGCAGATTGCAAATCTCGCAAATAGAATTTCGCTTACTTTACCCTACTCGAGTGCAATAGCCGATAAAATTTGACCATTGATTGATTGCAGGTCAACAGCCACGTAAAGTGTGCACATGATGCTCATGAGAACTGGACTCCCCGACGTTTCCTTTATCGTTCGTACTTTTCCAGTAGCATCTTCAGGAATTGCGTCATGCTTGGACGCAAAATTGATACCCAACATGCGTCATGCTACTGCAGGCTGAAGTCAAGGTTTCCGTCGACAAAAACATCGCTGACAACATTGTTAAGATGCGGTCAAGGTCGTAGGATTGGGTCCCTTCTAAAAGTTTGAGGTTTTGTTCCCCAAAGTGGTCGTTCACCTATCGATTTTTGCACATCCATTTACTGAAAATGTGGTCACAAATCGCAGGTCGTTTACCTTAGAAAGTTACAATTTAGACGTAAATTTGTACAATGTGCATTGAGATCTGGAATGTCGATAATAATTAATAATGACCTTTGCGTTCCGTTCAATGAACCCTTGTTTCATCGCAAAAAGGCTCACGATTTTTTTCGGGAAAGTGCTGCTCTGAATTTGATTGTGGAAATATGTCGCTGATTTCAGTTTTGCGTGATAAAGGCGGGTCGAGACATCGGATTTTTTATCATTGATATGAAGTTTAGTAGCAAGTTTATATAATGATAGTACGTTTGGAAGTACCTATTAAGAAAGGGGATAAGTTAGCTGTGTCACGAAGAATATAAATTACTACGATAAGTCGAATAAAACAAAGAACAAGGTTTTGATACACATTTCTTGGTGACTTTTCTACGCACTCGAGTTTTGTTTAGAACCGATAATTTTATTTCTTGAGAGAACGCACAAATTCGCTAAAGTGTTAATTATCATGTAAAAAGGAAATAGTTTTGTTTTGCTCGATAAGAGACACGTGTTCGTAATTTTGAAATTTTATTTTAAAATATTATCTTCTGAATCGTCCTGATAAAGTTGTTGAAACTTGAGTACCAGAATATCGTAGAATAACAAACGTAACATTTATCTAATTTCGATAGAAACCTTTGGTGCATCTAACGATGTATGTAGTACCTGCTTCCGCAAAAAGTACGACTAGTTTGTGTCAATGTCCCGAAATAGAGAAACTTCATGCTTTAAAGTTTTTTAGATTGAATTATTTTTTTTTTGGATTTTGATACATTTTCCGATTTCTGAAAATTAAAATCTTTTTTAATGAAGTACTGCTTCTAAAAAAAAAAATAACTTATACATGCAAAATTGAATGGACGTCAAAACGTTTGTTTCCAGAACACCTCTTACGTAATAATTGACGATGTTTTGGAATTCTTGATTAATTTGCATCTCCTTAACGAACACGCTCGTGACGTCGCAAAAAGAGTGACCAATTCGCACAAAAAGACCGGCAAGCGGTCACGGCCAACTCTATAAAAACTTGCACTTTTTATTTGACGAATAATGAATAGAAGAGGTCAAGGAAAACATTGAATGCTTTAGTAAGCGCGCAATTTACGCTAGGATCCAAAATAATCAGCGTAACATCCACCTCCCACAACTGGTACCACACTGAAACACATGAATGAATTGCATCCGAGCTGCATCCAATAGAGAAGGGACGCCGCTTTTGTCCTATTGGACGCAGCAGCAGATCGCTCCTCCTCTACAAGTACTGCGAGTTTCCCCACTCAATAATCTTAAGTCGTTCGTAAGAATAAGTATATAAGCATTGCTTAGTCTTGTCAAACATCAATAGATATCTGTGCACCACGCGAATATTTCACGGAGTTACAGTGGTGCATCATGTTCGTGTACGGTAGTTTGGTGTTGTGGAATTTTCTTGTTGAGGAAATTTCAACGAGAATTCTTACTGTGTTCGTCGCGGTACTATTTCTGGTACGCGTGCTCCAGAAGCTGAAAGAAGCCAATTCGCTGCCACCAGGACCTTGGGGGGTGCCCATCCTGGGATCTTTACCATTTCTCAAAGGGGATTTGCACCTGCACTTCAGGGATTTAACTCAGAAATACGGATCCTTGATTTCGACAAGACTCGGATCGCAGCTTATCGTCGTCTTGAGTGATTACAAAATGATAAGGGATGCTTTCCGAAAAGAAGAATTTACAGGAAGACCCATAACGGAGTTCAGTACTTTACTGGACGGCTACGGTGAGTGAAAAACGAATCACTCTGTTTATAGCATACAATTGACACACTTCTGTAACCTTGACGTATCATCAGTAAAAGTGATTATAAATTCAAAAATTTGCATGTGTTTTTCTTTGCAGGTGTGATTAACACTGCTGGAAAATTGTGGAAAGATCAGAGAAAATTTCTCCACGACGGCTTGCGCCATTTCGGCATGTCGTACATCGGAAGCCGCAAGGCGCAAATGGAAAATCGCATCATGCGAGAAGTCGAGGAATTTTTGTCAGTTTTGGCCGCGCAAAAGGGAAACCCCATTGATTTGAACCCTTTTCTGGCGGTCTCTTTATCAAATGTTATCTGTGACATTTTAATGTCGGTCAGATTTTCACACAACGACGAAAGGTTCAGAAGGTTCATGTTCTTGATCGAGGAAGGCTTCAAACTCTTCAGTTCGTTAGAAGCTTCGTTCTTCATCCCGATCTTAAAGTACTTGCCCGGACAAAGACAGACACGTGAAAAAATTGCCAAGGTAAGTGATTTCGCAATTCGCATAGAGTTTGAGATAAAATCCGCTTTTTTCGTAGAATCGGGTAGAAATGGCTCAATTCCTCCAAGAAACTATCGAAGAACACAAGAAAAGCTTCGACCCGTCGCATTTGCGCGATTTGTTAGACACTTACCTTTATGAAATTCAGAAGGCCAACGAGGAAGGCGTCGGTCATCACCTCTTCGAAGGCAAAGATCACGGTAAGTCTATTTTTTCTTTGATTGTATATCAGTTGCTAATAATTTTTTCGAAATCTAGATCGTCAGATGCAACAAATCATGGGCGATCTTTTCTCTGCCGGTATGGAAACCATCAAAAGCTCTCTACAATGGGCGGTTCTCTTCATGCTCCATCATCCCGAAGTGATGAAGGCAGTCCAAGAAGAAATGGACCAAGTCGTGGGTCGCCGCCGGCTGCCCAAACTCGAAGACTTACCATACTTACCAGTAACCGAATCTACGATGCTGGAAGTAATGAGAATATCGAGTATAGTCCCTATGGGCACCACGCACGCACCCACAAGGTACGTTGAATAAATTCGCACCCATAAAAAAGTGAAAGTGTCAGAGACGTTTAAAATTTAGCGGTCGATGACCCAGACAATAATTTCCCAATCATTTCATAACCCAACGCAGGACGAGTAACGCATTTTACGTAATTTTAGGGACCTGCAACTCAACGGTTTCCACCTACCCAGGCACGCCCAAATCGTCCCGTTGCTTCATGCCGTCCATATGGATCCTAGTTTGTGGGACGAGCCCGAGAAGTTCAACCCTAGCAGGTTCATCAACTCCGAGGGAAAAGTCGTCAAGCCAGAATATTTTTTGCCTTTCGGCGTTGGACGAAGAATGTGTTTGGGGGAGATCCTCGCCCGGATGGAGATCTTTTCCTTTTTCTCGTCGCTTTTACACTCGTTTGAGATCTGCGTTCCCGCCGGAGAGACCCTTCCGAGTTTGAAAGGTGTCGCGGGGATCACCATTAGTCCCAACGCCTTCAAAATCTGCCTCAAGCCTAGACCTATGGAATGGGATTCGATGGGTACCATCAGGCCTGCTGGAAGCCATTAGTTTTTAAGGAGCACGGTGACCGAAAGCGATTCCTATTATTTATACCGAGGCACAGTACTTAGACATTCCTCAAGATACGAGATCTCCGACTTGTTCGGCTGTGCATTGCAAAGTGTTCATTCATTGTTAGTATTAATATTTTATAGATTTACTGATTTGTGTGCTAGTCACGTTGCATGTCATCCATACATTAAATCACCATTCTAGTTGCCGTTTTTATACCATTGTACCACGTTACCTGTCGAGGCAACAGTCGAACCTTTTTTTTTTTCATTTTAGATGTAAGAATTGTAAATAGTTCATTTTGTTTTTGCGATCTTGCTAGCAAACAACGTACAATACAACCAACAGGATGTAACGTTAATATTATTGTTATGTTTAATTATTTTTAATTGGAGACAATATTAATATAATTTTTTTACTTTAAATTATGAACTACGTCTTTTATTTCTTATACAGTTTACAAACAAAGCTGATTCTACAAACTCGAAAAAATTAATTCATGTTGTTTTGGTGTTAGAGTGATTCCACATTCCCCAGTCAAGTCCGTTTCGATATTCTCGCAAGAAATCGTAAAATTCTGGATAAGGGTGGCACCATACAGGAACATGAACATCCTGGCCAATTCGTCGCCGACACACATCCTTTTCCCTGTAAAAGTTTTGTAATTATTATTGTTATTATTTTTTGCTCAGCAGTTTGTCGTCATAACTTAGTAAAAGTAACCGCAATAAAATTTTGAGAAAATAAAACAAAACAAAGTTGGAGCAATAACTCAACTTGTTAGTGTTTACTTTTTATATATCATGAATTTATTAATTAATTACTTTTTTTTTGTTAATTAAAATCACAGTGATTTATCACGATGTGATGCTTCTACTCCTTCTCCTACTGAATGAATTTCGTAATAAAAACGAGATCATTTGGAACAAGCTTAAAAGTTTCTTCATTTGTTTTTATATTTACAAAATTATTGTGACACGCACGGGAACCTTTTTTGACATATAATTATCGATAATTTTGAAAAATACATAACATATAAAACTGTTTTATTATTGATTGATAATAAAGTGGAGGTATTACTTAACACGCAGTGTTCTGATTGTGAACTGTTGTTTTCATCCGGAAAATTGACATTAAAAACTTCTCTATTAGTAAAATAAAATTTGTTATTTTCGTTTTATCTATTATTAATTTTTTTCTAGACGAGACCCATCTCATCATAAAAATATCAAAAAAAAAACGAAAAAATTTGCCAAAACATAATATTTTTAACAAATTTTAAGAAAGAATCAAGTTCTTTAAAAAATATGCAAGCAAAAAATAAACACTTTTTTTTTAAATCGCTAAGTTTAAAATTGACGTCTTTAAATTGTGCAAAATGCTTAAATAACAACAAAAAGAAACAACTAGATAATAATAAAAAACGATATTTTAGTATTTAATATTTTTTAAAGTATTTTTTTTTTATAAAAAGCCATCACCTATTGTTTTGTGTTGATAATATAAAATTTACCCTGTACATATACCTAGTAATTTTTGTAGAGTGCCAGAACTACACACTGTTAACACCGTCAAGTCAAAAAAAAGTCACGCAACCGCCAAGAATATTAAAAATTCGTAGCCATGCTGCCGCTTATGTTGAGAGAAATTGCGAATTGTTGTTGAGCTTAAAAAAAAAACAAACCTACTTTATTTTTAACGTGTTTTGTCATTAGTTACTTTGTCTGTGTTGATGTGGGTACAAGATAGTAACATTAACAATCGCTTAAATTTGGAACAAAATGTTCAAGAGATTCGCCGCCATTCTATAGTTCTGAATGTACCTACTTGGTACGAAATTTTATTACTTTCTGATCGTAAGCTTAACCGAGTCCATCGGGTAACTTGTTAGTTTCATGTTTTCTCGACGTTTCATAACTCCTAGAGTACGAAAAAGTGGTCTCTCCGTTCCGTCTGTCTGTCGTCTGTATCGATTTTTATTAGACACGTAATTTTTGAAACTCCTGGACCGATTCTAAACTGGTCTAAATGTTATACAATAATATAAGCCTGTATACTTGTGGTGTACGAATCCACTTTGAATATTTAACATTAACATGACCTATTAATAGTCCGTGGTCTAGTGGTTTACAACATCGACACGCGGACCGGCGGGTCGCAGGTTCGATGCCGAACTTTCTTTTTTTCTCTCTCGTACTGTGTATTATTTATGTTGATGAAGTCGTAACATTTTTTTTAATAATGATAAAATAATAATTATAATATGTATTTAGAAGATTTACAATTAGTCTTAGTCTTAGTTTTAATCCTCTGAGATAAACCCATTCAAATCAAACAAACTTCTATGTGACATTATTTTAATGTATAAACGTAAACACTTGAAGTTAAGCTTATTATTGCTAAGAAAACATTTTCTCCCATTGGTTTTCTGCTTTAAATATATTTTACATTGCTCGTACTTGTGCGGCGTCCCCTTGGAATTTGCTCCCATGGCGCTGGTTTTTACTTTATAGAGATTATAACAAAAGAAGCGGGATTTGTCGGATTATCCTTCAAGGGCGAGGGAAGTTCTGTTGAAATAACTTCCGAGCAATTTTTTTTATATAGCAACACTGGATAAATAAGTTGAAAATTCATCGAAAACAAATAAAAATTGCGGAACGTTTATAAGATTTGAATTTTAAAAAGTAAGTCTTGTAGTTAACTTTATTTATTTTTTGACGTTCTTATACCGGGTGACTAGAAAATGGTGGATTAACTCTACACTACGTTATGTACGGGAGTTTCGGGAGTCCCAAAAAAATAATTAAAAAATTCTGTATGATGTAGATTACGAAAAAAACGTAATTTTATAAAAGTAAAACTGACAACACTGCACGCACCTAATGCGTGAAGTTTTTTAAAAAAATACTAGGAGCTCCCAAGATTCTTTTAATCTCTTTCACAAACATTAAATGCCCCGACACTTTTTTAAATTCTTTAAAAAATAAATCACGAAGGATTTCAAAATAGTAAAAAAACAAAATTCTGTGTGTTTCGAGGAGCGGAAATTAAAAAATAATAATTTAATTTTTGCATTTATTTTTAATTTTTTTCTGTGTATTGTGAACCTATAAAAATCTATATTTCTTGGAAAAAACGCGCGGCTAATTTCTTCCAAACAGTTAGCCGAGGACTTGATTCTTGGAATTGGTCAGCCAGGGAGGTGGAAGGAGGTGTAAATACAGAATCTTCGAAAAATTGTAAAATTTAATTTTGCCAACCTATTTGTTTTTTATAACCTCTATAAGTTAAAATAAAGAACTGTCGACTGTTAAAGTAGGTAAAGGAGCATGCTATATGCAAGTTTCAAGTGTTTTTTTTTTCCATTATATCTAACATTTTATGATGACATCATCAACACTTTAATTAATTCACATTCACCCATTTCTTTTTTTTTTTTTTAGTTAGTTAAGTTAGGAGACCATTTTTCCGACTGTAGGATTTTTCTCGTCTTCAGCTGTAATGGCACTTTTCGCATTCGTTGGGGGATGGGTAAAAATGTTAAATAAAAGACACTCGTGTTCTGATTTTGCGTTGATTTTTAAATTTATTGGTGATAGTCATTAGAAAATAAAATCGTGTTAGTACCGTGATTGTTGCGCAATATTGTGAAATTTTTTGGAACGTTATTTTTCCAGAGAAGTCGGAAAAAACGCGTTCGTATGAAAGTTGTTATTGTTGTTGTTAAGCTTTTAAATTTACGATTTTTTATTATTATCGATTTCAACTTGTGCAAACGCTGTTTATAAATTATCACGTTTTCGAGATTTTTTCTAATTTAAAATTAAAAAATGCTTCTGAAAATCAATTGCGTTAGTCGTCTGATTACGAATTAAAGTAGCCACTTCCGGAAGAAAAGTTTTTGGAAAAACTTCCAGAACAATTCAAGATAAAACTGATATTGCCAAATGGCATACCCTTGAAGAAAATAAAGGGTGGGTGGGCGTGGTCATTAGTTGCCTATATAAGACTGACTTTGGCAAATGAGATACCCTCTAAGAGAAGAGAGGGTGGGTGGGCGGAGCTGGAAGCTGCCAAAATAAGATTGATTTTGGCAAATGATATACCCTCAAAGAAAATAAAGGATAGAGGGTATATCATTTGCCAAAATCAATCTTATTTTGGCAAGTACTAGCCCCACCCAATGTGAGAAGGATTTTTTTTTACTATTTTTCCCAGACTTTCCAGTTGATTTTTAAGGGCGTAGCGGAGAGTTAATCCGTCAATTTCCAGACACCCGGTATAAGCAGTTTAAGTTAACGTAATTATGACATCGTTTTGTGGATTTCTGTCATCTTCAAACCTCTACGTAACTATTTCACAGTCAATGCTTCTGTTTGTTCTGATTTTTTGAGATTATAATTTTTACCGCAAGATGTTTTGAAAGAGCCAGTTCCTTTTGCCGCATTTTTTTTTGTTTTTTAAGTTTTTGGGGAAAGATGTTTAATTATTATTAAATAACATCGATAAAACAGGAAACTGGCAAGACGACCGATGGACTCGTTAGCTTACTCTCAGGAAGTAAAAATTGGTCGAAGGTTTTTTCGACAGAACTTCCTGCTCCCCTGAAGTACAATAAAACAATCAGCTTTTTTGAAAAAATTATAAATTCTCTAAGAACCCCTAGAAATTAAAATAAAGATATGTATGTAATATTAAAGTAAATATAAAGAAGCCTGGTGCGGGTATGTTTCAAATGAGTTTATTTTTTACAAAATTTTGTGATGACATCATCAACATTTTTGCAGTATGAATTTGGATAGGTACAGTGTAATACTAATAATAATGTTGTATTCCCAAATTTTCGGGAAAATGGAATGACCCGTTTCTGGTTGATTCAATAAAATAAATCGACTGATTCATTAATTTTTTGTCACCTGTATAAGCAATTCTAAAACCTATTAATGGAATGATAAATTACAAGTATAGACTCATCATGTTTTGCACATTTCAGGTAGGATTTATATGACAAATTTTGAGATGACGTCATCAAGTTTTTGGGAGGAGATAAACCAGTAAATTTTGATTAGCGATTTACCATCACCACGATAATCTTTCAAAATTTCAGAGCATCGCTTTTGCAAGCTACGAAGTTAATTGCAAAATGTTGTTATAAAATTTTGGTTAACTTATAACCCCCATTATTCGCAAAATTCAGTTTTATAACTTTTTGAAAAGCTGAAGGGCGAGCGAATTTCTGTCTAAATAACTTTAGACCAATTTTTTTAAATTTTGGTTTGTTTCGAATACGCTTTATCATTCCAATTTTATTTAAATTTTTGTTACCGTTTCGGGCTTTAGTGCCGCATGGCAAATTCAAAATGTCTGACATTTATTAAATACCGGGTGACTATAATGATTGAAGTAAATTTTTGTGTTCTAAAATTCTATTATTGGCAGCAATGCTAATATATTAGTTCACAGTTGCCAGTTTTGACATCAATACGCCTAACAAACGTGTTGATTGGTTGAGACGATGACAGCTGTCATAAATGTCAATTTGACAATCACGTATGCCATCATAAAATTTTAAATATGTCGCCAATTTAACAAAAAAATCACAAACATGAATTGTCACTCGCTATTATTTACGCACTTGAAATTTTGCATAGCATGCTTCTTTACCCATACTTTAATAGTCGAAACATATCTTTATTTTATTTTATAGCGGTTATCATAAAAAAGTAAAATTTGCAAAATTTAATTTCATATTTTTTGAAGACATTTTTAGACAATACTTCATGTGGCGCATGTCTAAATCAGTTTTTTTTCTGTCATTCTTTTGTGTGCATATTTTAAAAGGAGGTAATTACTTACCATTAGTGCAAAAAATTCAAACTGGCCAATAAAACGAACACCAGAAATATAATACTTACATCATTAAAAATTCTGTTACTGACTTTGTTCTGATTTAAATTAACATATTAGATAATCAGTCGGTTTGAATGTTTTTTAAACTTTGTTTTATATCTTTTTATTCAAACATCTGAGCAAAGCATATTGTTATATCACCTAAAAATAAACAAAAATCAAGAACCTACCTGCTTGAAATGGAATGAAAGCTTCCGGTTTGAAGAACTTGCCCTCTTCATTTATAAACCGTTCTGGTTTAAAACATTGTGGATCCTTCCACGTGTCTGGATTCATATGTATGGCCCATTGTAAAGGAACAATCATAGTTCCTTTAGGAATTGAATAACCCTCAATATTCATTTCTTCTAAAGTACCGTGAGGAATACCAACAGGAACGACAGATCTGATTCTTTGAACTTCCGCAATAGAAGCCTCCATGTACGGTAAAGATGATAAATCATCGAGTGTTGGAAGGTTGGTCCCTAATATGTCTGTAAGATGTTTTCTAATTTTGTTTTGTACTTCCGGATATACAGCTAGATATAACAAGTACCATCTTAGTGTTGCTAATGTAGTATCTAAACTGGCGCCAAAAATATCCGCTAATAAGTGATGAAACTGTTCGTCGTTGTAAAACTTTTCTTTGTCGTCATCTTGACGTCTACTGCGTTCATTAAGAAACGCCTGAATAAAGTTATTTTCGGGAGTTTTTTCCAAAAACTGTTGTTCAGAGATAAGTTTTTCGTAGATTTTGTGAGTTTTTTGTTTTCCTTCAATTAAGAACTTTATGGTTTCGCTGAATGTTGGTAAGAATCTGCCGGACAAGGGGGACGTTTCACTATTAGCAATTGCTCAACTTCTGTCTTTCGACATATACAAAATGTCTATAAATAGACTCGATTACTACTCTGCATGCATGAAACATTTATAAACACTCTGTATATTTAGTAATAACATACCTTAAAAATGGTAAAAAGTTTAATGGGCCTGCCACTCCGATGTGTTTTGTTCCTTCTTCTTGGAGATGTTGTAACCACTTCCACAATTTATCGTCACGGGACCATGACTTACCAAAAACCAGTTGGTTGATAACAGATCCAAGACTGTGACGAAGGGGTTCTAAAGGATCTAGCGTCACCTGCTTTCCTTGGCTTTTAATATACTACAATTCAGACAAAATTGTTTGCAAAATTATACCCGAAATATTAGCATACATACTTGCACAAAATCAGAAACATTATGCATAATTAAATTTTGTATATTTGTTCTGTTGTGGCCCACTCTGGCGGCACCTAGTCCTCTTAAAGTGTTGTGGACAAATTTGCGTTGGTCCTTCCACAATTCACCTTCTGCACAAATTAGTCCTAGAATAATTATTAGATTAAGTTATAAGACATGCTGCAATGAAGAGATTTTTCATCAACTGATGATTGATTAGTACATTTGACTTTTCCACTTTCTGAGTTTGCTAAGTAAAGAATAGAACATATCTTTTAATCTTTTGAATGTAGTCTGATTGTGATGTTTTTAGGATTTTATTTACCTTACTGACCGTTTGTTGACACATATGATCTCGAGAATGTGCAAAATGCTAAATTTACCACTTCCGGGCATTCCACTAATTTATGACTTGCAGCCAGGCAGCCACCTGCACAAAGAGCTGCCGCCTGAATTTTGTTTGCAGTATCGTTTCTCACTCTTTTTTTGCTTTTTTGAAATTATTGCATTTGCATTCATATTTTTCGATTTGCTTAAATTAAATTAAATCAAGAACTACAAAACCGAATGCTATAAATTACCATGTTTATTAAAAATCGGAAAATACTTTAAGAACAGCAGAGATTCATTACGCGAAAAAGAAATTACATAAGAAAAACATCTACCAAGTATGTACTATTCTGTGCAATTTAACCGACGTCAGTCTACGTGGAAGTAAAAATTATAAAAGTTCCGAGGCCGTTGTCTTGAACCAAGGTCCCCTATAAAGTGCACAAGGGCGGTCGTTAACACAACTTTCCAATCATTAATTAAGACATCTTACATCCTATAATTATCTAGCAATGAAAACTTTCCTGACATTTAAAAAATAAACTTGGTCATCAGCTCGTCCACATCCCGCAAAAAAGACAAGAAGCACCTATTATTTCAGTGGTGGTATTGTCTCAGGTTTGCTGAAGTTCACTAACCATCAAGACGGGAATGCCGTTCTCGTCCGGTGATGACTAATAAGTGACCACTCTCGCTATCGTTCGAACTCGGAATAACGCTACGGCGGAATTTCAAGAATTTTTTTTTGTTGTGCCGTCACTGCCGTCTGTCCAGAGATAGAATTTAGTTCGTTGTGATTTTATTTGGACAGAGAACTGCTTAGATTTGGTAATGAAAGATTATGTTCTGCTTCCATACATATAGTTCGTATTCAGTATAACGAACTGAGTCGAATTTTTCAATAGCAGGACCCGAAAAATGCGCCTAGGGTAAAATTTTTAACACGGAGAAATAGCAAAAACCCGTGAAAAATACTTGGCTCAAAGTTAGCCTATGTCGCCTAATAATACAGGGCTTTTATAAATGATTCTAAGGGCGTAGTTGGCCATGGATTTCAAAAATACCGCTTCGCTGAAATGATGCCTCATAATGACAGTTCTCACTTGTCACATTAATGTCTCATGTCGTTTGTAACCTGTCATTTAAAGTCGTTCTTTTTATTGTTTTAACGTTTTTCAAGTGCGAATTACAGTAATTCGCGTTGATCCAAGCTCAAAACAACAAAACAGGCGTTTTCAAAACTCTTGGTGGTTGCGTACGAAAATTTTGTTTTTGTGCCAGAAAGCTAAGATTGTGAAAATGGTTTATTCGTTATGCCCTGTTATCGCAATGGGCTTCGTAAACAAAGAGTGTGTGTATTCTGTAACCGCTTATAAGCAAGAATATCTGGCCAAACACCGTGATTTAATAATTCACAAAAAAAAAAACGTCAAAGGCTCAACAGATCAACAGATTTGTTCGAACTGGCAGTGTCAACAAAGGGAAATCTCGTGGAAGACCTTCAGTGTTTGAGAGAATTGTTGATAATTTGAGACGACTTGATCAGAATTGAACAATTGGACAACGGGTCCAAAGTATTGAAGACAGGATGTTACAGAAAATTTTTTAAATTAAAAAGAGGGTGAACGTGTGCCTTGAACAAAATGATCAACATTTTCAACATTTACTGTGATGTGTAACCTCAATAAATTTGTGTCTTTTTATTGTAGTAAATTAGTTTTATTTTTTTAAAAGATATGAAGCGTTTAGGCAACCATTTATACAGAAGCGTGTGGATTTTGTCATGCGTCCTTGGGCACTTCGTACAGATCTCCGTACAGTTAAATATGAGCGGCGGCACGCTTACATGACCTACTCGGACCCCATAATCATTTATAGAAACCCTGTATAAAGTAAACAATTCCAGTTATTAAAAAGCTAAAGAACAGAAATATTTAAATCTTTTCGCTATAAAGGAAAGATTTTTGAAAAACATTATGAAAACAGAGTCTAACATTTCAAACTATCGAAACTTTATATAAAACGAATTTATAAAATTTAAAAGATAAAGATCTAAACTGGGAATATTCGATAAATTTTCAACAATGTCTAAATCACAAGCTCGTTTGTGCAGTTGAAGAATTTTTTGTAACACATGTAATATTTGGTTACGGTTTGCCGTTTCCGACACAGTAGTTAGAAATATTTATTTTTCAATTAATGGATTGGTATCGATGAATTACTATGATTATAGTACAGTAAATCAATCAATCGTAATTGATAGCTTCTGTAAACTATCCACTTTCAGTATACTTTTTCCAATTCTTATTAAAAAGTGATATAGGTCGACAATTACGGTCGATCTATTTACTATTATAATTCTTTATGATTATCCATAACCTGTACGAAAATTTGCCCCGCCCACCCACCCTATCTCAATTGTGAAGATTTTTTTATTCGTCGTGACCCAAGAAGGCGAAGCTTAACTGCAAAATCCTTATTTCTCTACGAGAAATTAAAAACGTGTTTTTGAATATCCTGTTGTCCAAAGAACACTAAGTAAGTTTATTAAGAAAAAAATAAGGCCAAAGACTGGGCCCCACCCATACCCGCCCCGATCTAAATTCTCAATTGTGATGAATTTTAATTCGTTGTCAGATCGAGGGGCGGGGTTTAATTGCAAGATCCATATTTGTCTACAAGACCCGGGTGGATTAGTAGTTAGCATCGTGCTTGCCCGCTACACCTTGGGTCGTGGGTTCGATTCCCGCCCTGCCTCTGAGTGTTGTGTATGTCCCGTTCCTCTATAATTGGGACAGCGGCCTGTTGGGGAACGTAACTGAATAAAATAAAAATTAAAAAAATACCATTTTAAACATGTTTTAAGTTTTTTGTTTTGAAAAGACGACTACGTATATTAAGAACCAAAAAAAAATATAAGCCCCGCTCACCCGCCCTATCTCAATTGTGATGATTTTTTTTTAATCGTCGAAAGCCAAATAACCGGAATTTAATTGCAAAATCTGTATTAGTTCTCTACAAGAAATTACCATGTAAGACATGTTTTTCAGTATCGTGTTATTCAAAGAATACTATGTATATTAAGAAAAAATTAAGGCCAAAGATTAAGCCCCCCGCATACCTGCCCTGATCTAAATAGTAATGAATATTTCCTTACAAAATTTTACCATTTTAAACGTGTTTTAAGTTTCCAAGGGCCGATTTTATAATCAAGTTAATGGAGCTTTAAAATTAGAGTTGGATTTTTACCATGGAAATACACTGTTGAGACAATGGTTTAAAGTTCCCATTAGTCAGAGGTCCTTTAATTTTGATTATGAAACTAGCCCTAAGAATAACAAAAATCATTACAGTTGAGATGGAGTTTATATTTTGCCTTTTTTACTTCCCGAGCGTAAGCAAAGGAAGTATTGTAATCGAGTCCGTCGGCCGACTCTCTATTTTTACGTTTTCTCGATCTTTCATGACCCCTAGAAGACGAAGAAATAGGTCTCCCATTTCCGTCTGTCTGTCCGTCTGTCCGTCCGTCTGTCCGTCTGTCCGTCTGTTGTCCCGGATTTTTATTAGACAGATAATCTCCGAAAGTACTCGACCGATTGTTGTGAAATTTTGTACTTATATTAAGAATATCATGTAGATGGTAAAACGCTAACCAAAATTTGTCGAATCATCCCCACCACTAAAGCGATGACGTCACTTCAAAATTGTACATAGTAAATGGGTTTTCAATTGTATAAAATAACATAGTCCTACACATGTAGTTTACAACTCTGAATCGACTTTTCACCCGAAACGTCCAGATTTTTGGAAAAAAAATCAAAATTATAAAACAACATTTTGAAATTTAATTTTTAATCTGCTAACCAGAATGCTTTGAAATGTTGCAGATGTTTTAAGGCTATAAAGAGCATCATAAATCTTTAGTCAAAAAATATTTGCTTATCCCCTCCAAAAACTTGATGACGTCAGCTCAAAAGTTTGTGGAATAAATCATATCTAAAATGTACAAAATATGATGAGTCTGTACTTGTGATCTATCACTCCATTAATATTTTTTGGATTTGCATATACAGGGTGACTCAAAAAAATTAATGAATGCGTAAATATATTTTATTGATTTAATCAGGAACTACAAAACCGAATGCTCTGAAATCTTGCAGATGTTTTAAGGTCATAAAGAGCATAATAAATGTTTAGTCAAAATATATTTGCTTATCCCCTCCAAAAACTTGATGACGTCAGCTCGAAAGTTTGCCGAATAAATCATATCTAAAATGTACAAAATATGATGAGCCTGTACTTGTCATTTATCACTCCATTCATATTTTTTGGATTTGCATATACAGAGTGACTCAAAAAAATTAATGAATGCGAAAATATATTTTATTGATTTAATCAGGAACTACAAAACGGAATGCTCTGACATCTTGCAGATGTTTTAAGGTTATAAAGAGCATAATAAATGTTTAGTCAAAATATATTTGCTTATCCCCTCCAAAAACTTGATGACGTCAGCTCAAAAGTTTGCCGAATAAATCGTATCTAAAATGTACAAAATATGATGAGTCTGTACTTGTGATTTATCATTCCATTCATATTTTTGGATTTGCATATGCAGGGTGACTCAAAAAAATTAATGAAGGCGTGAATTTATTTTATCGATTTAATCAGGAATTACAAAACCGAATGCTTTGAAATCTTGAAGAAATTTTAATTTTAATATAAGCATGGTAAACTTTTGTTCAAAATGTATTTGTTCATCCCTCCTAAAAAAATTGATGACGTCACCCTTAAATTTTGCTGAATAAATCCTATC